CGTCAGTGGCATGTGGATTTTCAGGGTGAAGCGGCCGCCGGGCTCTCCGCCTGTCTTCAAGGCGCGTTACGTTGCACGAGGCTTCAGTCAGCGAGAGGGGGTTGACTTCTTTCAGACCTTCTCCCCGACCCCGAAGATGACCACTCTTCGGGTTCTGCTGCACGTCGCCGCTCAGCATGACTACGAGCTCCACTCGCTTGACTTCAGCATGCTTTCCTGCAGGGCAGCCTGCACGATGAGATCTGGCTGCGCCGTCCACCTGGCTTCACTGGGTCGTTCCCTCCTGGTACCCAGTGGAGCCTCCGATGGCTAGTCTACGGTCTCCGCCAGGCGCCTCGTGAGTGGCACGACACACTGAGGACTACGCTTGCGGCTCTTGGGTTCGCACCTTCTACTGCTGACCCGTCGCTGTTTCTACGCACCGACACCTCACTGCCGCCGTTCTACGTCCTTGTGTACGTCGACGACTTGGTCTTTGCTACTGCTGACACTGTGGCACTCGCCCACGTGAAGTCGGAGCTGCAGAAGAGACACACGTGCACAGACCTGGGTGAACTGACAAGCTATCTTGGCTTGCGGATCACCTGGGACAGAGCACGCCGCACCATCACCTTGACTCAGTCACACATGGTGCAGCAGGTCCTTCAGCGCTTCCGCTTCACGTACTCCTCGCCTCAGCCCACTCCTCTGCCTACCGGTCACTCGCTCTCAGCTTTGCCTTCGGATGAGTCCGTAGAGCCGAGTGGCCCGTATCCAGAGCTTGTGGGTTGCCTCATGTATCTGATGACCTGCACTCGACCAGACCTTGCATACCCTCTCAGCATTCTTGCACGCTATGTCGCTCCCGGCCGTCACCGGAAGGAGCACATGGATGCAGCTAAGAGGGTGTTGTGTTACTTGTGCAGTACGTCAGGCATGGGGCTAGTGCTTGGAGGGCGAGTCCCAGTTGTTCTCACTGGGCACTCAGACGCTTCTTGGGCAGACGACCAGGCTACTCAGCGGTCGTCTCAGGGTTACTCCTTCAGTCTTGGCTCTGGTTCTTTCTTGGCGTTCTACTCGCTCTTCTTCTGTTCTCAGCTCCAGTTGTGAGGCTGAGATCTATGCCACAGCCATGGCGGCTCAGGAGCTACACTGGCTCACCTACTTGCTGACCGACCTTGGAGAGCAGCCTAGTTCTCCTCCAGTGCTGTACGTCGACAACAAGGCAGCCATTGCCTTGTGTGAGGAGCACAGACTGGAGCACAAAACGAAGCACATTGCTCTGCGTTACTTCCTTGCTCGAGAGCTACAGCAGCGTGGTCAGCTTCGCCTGCGTTACGTGGCCTCTGAGGCCAACATTGCTGATGTGTTCACCAAGGCGCTTCAGCCTTGTGACCATCAGCGCTTTTGCACTCTTCTAGGCCTTGTGCCTACTGGACCTCACTTGCTTACTTCTTGAGTCTGTTTGTACAGTGATCTCTATATATATATACCTGCATGTTTACTTTTGTTAGGTTGTGATCATTGTACCTTCTGCTCTATTATAAACCTGCATGTGAACTGCTCTTGTGACCACTTGCTTGTGCTCGGAATTTGTGTGGTATCCTTGAGATCCACCCTGAGATTGTTTTGCCTTGCTTTGCCTTGACTGGTCTTGTGACCCCTAGTTCTCCCCACTTTGTCTATGGGGGTGTGTCAAACATTATATATGTTGTGTTAGTTTAGGCTACAGTGGGTTAGCCTATAGGGGGTACACAATTCTAGGGTTAGGTACTTGTACTCATTTCACTGCTAGTTCACTCATTCCTGTTTCGTACTTCTGACAGCCTCTACATCGGAAGAGCAGTGTTGAAGAACAACGTCTTCGTCCTCGATTTCGTCCCCAACCTAGGCACTGCAGATAGCGACGCCATCGTCAACTTCGCCGATTGGACACATCCCCCGGATCTCGATCCCGAATTCAGCCCGGGAGGCTTCTGGTACTCGCACACCATCCCTGAGGCAGAACGAACACGAGCATTAGCAACGATTCAACAAACGGCAGCAGCAGATACAACATCGGCAGCAGCAGAGACATCATCGGCAGCAGCAGGACCAACGACACCAGTCATCGTCGACGAAGCACCACCAACACCCGCACAGCAGCTAAACCCGACTCAACGAGAAGTCCACCGAAGCGCCAACTTCGTCGCCAGCTTCTACTCCAACTCTGACGCGTATCAACGTTCACCCGGACACCGCGCTCCTGAAGATATCTGGCACGCACGCACAGGACATTCAAGCAATACACTGTTAAATAACACAATACGAGCACGAGTCCTAGACAAAGATTCACTACTACTATCCGACGGCAGAGAACTTCAACGGGCACGAGGAACTTGCCTCATCTGCCCCGAAGCCGACTTACCTCATCGACCGTTTCCTTCTCACCACAACCCGAGCGCACCTGCACACGCACCACTCGAGAAAGTGTACAGCGACATCCTCTTCAATCGAGAACCAGGACAAGTCACCTACAATTACACGATAACCTTCATCGACGCCGCCACTCGATACGTCTGGCACCGAAACCTACCCAGCCGCGACATGGCTCTCGCAGCGTTCGCCGCTTGGCTACCGGTAGCAGAGAGGGAATCAGGAACACAGCTGAAAAGCTTCCAGTCAGACGGAGGAGGAGAATACACCTCTCAGCGCTTCAAGCAGTACCTGACGGAAAGGGGAATCAAGCAACTCCTCTCCCTTCCCTACGCCCATCAGCAGCAAGGTGTTGCAGAAAGAATGAACAGGACTCTGCAGAACAGCATGCGCAAACTGCTACGTGGCATGCGGCTACCCAACCACCAGTGGCCAGCAGCAATGGACCATGCTGTCATGCTGCACAACTTGCTGTCGTCGTCGTCACTCCCGAACAACGCATCACCGCATCTGCTGTGGACAGGAAAGCTGGGCAGCACAAGAATGTTACGAGTTTTCGGGTGTATGGTACAGTACCGACCCCCAGAAGCACGAGCGGGAAGATTTTCACAACGGGCACAGTGGGGACTACACCTCGGCATTGAGAAAAATTACAACGCGTGGAAGATTTTTGACGTCCACTCAAAGGAAACAGTAGCAGCACGTGATGTGATCTTCTACGAACGACTCACCCTTCAGACGTACCTCGCCAACTTGCACGAGAATCAGGACCTCACCGGTGGCTTTCGTGGTGACCGAGCCTTCGCCTCAGCAGCGGACGAATCAGACTGGGATGAACAGAACGTCGACAACGCATCGGAAGAAGCCGGACCTCTCCCGTTCTGCTCGGTCGACGTGCCCATGGACGAAGAAAATCCTCGCGACAGTAACAACGCCGAAGTCTTCTATCACTTCGCCGATAACGGTTACGTAACACTTGCGACAGTCAACACAAATGAAGCAGAACGCATAGGACCAAATTTCATACCCAACCCAGAAGCGGGAGACGAAGCAGCTTATCCCAAGGATCCAACACTCCCCCAATACTCACAGACTGGGCTGCAAATCCTCGGTCTCGTCACCGCAGTCCACGGGAACACAGGCAACGCTCTTCCTAAAGAGCCTGCCACAGTTCAGCAGGCTCTGGGGGGGGAACACAGGGAGAAATGGCGTGAAGCCATGGACAGGGAATTAAAGGCATTGGAGGAACGCAACACCTGGAAGGTCGTTCCCGCAAGCGTGGCAAGGAACAAGACCATTCTCACCGGGAAATGGGTCTTCCGCATCAAAATGAAAGCAGACGGCACAATTGAGAAGTTCAAAGCACGCTGGGTCGTGCGTGGATTCGACCAGGAGCAAGGACGAGACTTCACCGAGACATTCGCCCCAGTTAGTCGACATACCTCTCTCCGAATCCTTCTCGCCGTCGCCGCCATGATGAAGAAGAAGCTGCGACAAATCGATGTCGCCAACGCATTCCTCTACGCACCCGTCGACGCCGAAATCTTCGTCGAACTCCCACACGGCACTCACAGAAATCCCAATCAGGTCTGCCAGCTACTGAAATCGCTCTACGGAATCAAACAAGCCCCGCGGCTGTGGCAACAACACCTACACACCCATCTCACTCGCATCGGATTCCGCCAACTGCCTCACGACCAAGGAATGTATCGATTCACCAAAGGCGCAGACTACATCCTGCTGATCGTCTATGTCGACGACTTGCTCTACATCGGCTCCACCGACGACGTCACCACCTGGTTCAAAGGGGAGCTGCAGAAGGACCTCACGCTCACAGTTTCTTCCACTGCTTCTGTAAAAACTCCCACAGCAAATAGTTCTATCATGTTCAAAATACAATATTGGTTTTTTATTAGATGGGTTATTCAAGTTCAGAGGTCGACCCTTATCTCGGAAGCAAGAACTCGGAGTAAGAATCGGCAGCAGGAGCGCATGGAGTATGGTATAAAAGAACAGCACATGAACAGCCACACCAATCATGAATGGCCTAGCCAGACACAGAATACTGTAAGCATCACTGCTGTTCTCTTAGAACTGATTTTACTCTGCTGCACTGTCAATACACTGAGTTCACATGCAACTCATGGCCACTCCACCCATCCCTGTATTCTTTGCTTTGAAAGGTCCCCAGAGCCCAGCACAGCCACTTGTACCGTGGTATCACCATACAGGAGCAGCTCTTCTCTCTCTACGTTTCGGACTCTTCCATACCAGTGCCACCACCTACGTAGTCAGCTCAGCGCTACGGGGCATTCAGCAGCACCATGCAGGCCCACATTGCACAGCACACGGACGTCATAGTGCTGCTGAGCTGAGAGCAGTCACTCGTGGTAGCGTTACCAAGGAGCAGCTCTGCTTTGTTCAACTCTGCAACCACCACCCACCACGCCTGCCTGCAAGCAGCGCTAAGCGGGGTCCACATTGCAGCACCACAGACGTCATGGAGCTGCAGCCACTTGTGTGTACATGGAGGAACTGCTCTGCTTTCCTCATTTCCGCAGCCACTGCCAACACCATGCCTACAATCACCATCCCTACCATCATCACTAGGTGGGGTCCACATTGCGCAGCACCACGGACGTCATCGAGCTGCCCAGAGCCGGCACTTGTATCGAAGCTGGGACATCAGAGTAGCTCTGTGTGGCCACCAGCGTGTTGTTCTCCGTCGCTGACGTGCGATACGTCTCCACCACACACTCCTGACCCGCGTCAAACGGCACAAACTCCTCGAATTGAAATGTCGCAGTGTGTGTGGTGTCGCGCTGGTTGACGATGAAGATGGACACAAAGTGCTGGTCGGGATGGAAGAAGGCCGCAATGCAGTGCTGACAACCGCACGACATGTCAATTCGCAGAGGAAGGCTTCCCTGCGGCGCCCCACGCACAAACTGCTGCAGCATGTAGAGCTTCTTGGAGATCACCAGATCCAACGGCTTAACTTCCGTGTCGTTCAGCCGGTAGATCCTGACCGCCAAAAGCCCCCATTTCAGGAACGCGTCTGGGTTAGTAGCCACCCCACTCACTGCCTGCCAGAAAATCCAAGCGGAAGCCCCCATGATGTTCACAGCCTGCACTATCTGCCGTGCTGTGAACAGCATCACACCCACGTCATTGCCGACCACCCACATCGGCCCCACCTCCGACATCCACACCTCCTTGCCAAGCCCGGTCGCCATGCGGTGCATTCCCACCATCACGCCTTCCATGTACCGCCGTGTATCCGTCGTGTTGGGCGGCGGCGGAATGTACCCGTGCACGTTCAGCCGGAAAATGCCGGCCTTCAATGCAGCAGGGAACTTGTATGTATACCGGAGAGTGGCGCCGACGAAACTGTCAAACCCCGCGACTTTCGTTGGGAGCTTTCGTTTCTGGAGGTTGGCGGTGAGGAGGCGAATGAGAGTGCTCAGCTGCTCAGGGCTGTAGTTGCACCCCTCGTTCTTCGAACCCTGCGACCACCACCCCTCCAGCGCCTCATTTGAAGGGTTCATCGTGGAAAACGTCACGTTCCAGTACCTGCGGTAGTGCTCGATCGCAGACGCTTGGTAGTCCGTATACGCCTGGAAATACTCGGGCTTTAAATTACACTTGCCCTGTTTAGTCCCGGCCGTGTCCCCGCTGACCGTCATCCACCAGGGCGGCGAGTATGAAATCGCCTCCACCTCGTCCACATTCCGCGCCAGGGCGGCGAGCATCGTCCGTCTCTGCCGCCCGTCCGCCGTCCAGTCGTATTGACCGTTTGGCCGGACGCGGAAGCCGGGGAGAGAGCGGGTCTCCCAGGCAACGGTGAGGAACTGGGGGCTGTTGGTGTAGTTGACGCTGCCGCCTATGAGGTAGCGCGCGAGGTTGAGCCCGATGCCCTTGTCCTTGTCAAACAGCAAATCCATTATGCGATTGAACTGGTCGTCCGGCAGCTTGCCCACGTAGTTGGCGAACCTGAGAGCCGAGGTGCATGGGGCATGGGCAGGCAGGAGGCATGCCGCACGAAACATAAGAGAGTTGGTCGTCTGGTAGGCCCACGTAGTGGGCGAACCTGGGGGGGCATGGAGTAGTGAGGCATGGGACATGAGGCATGGCATGGGGCATGGGGCATGAATCATGGGGCATGGGGCATGGGGCATGGGGCATGGAGCATGGGGCATGGGGCATGGGCAATGGAGCATGGGGCATGGGGCATGGAGCATGAGACATGGAGCATGGGGCATGGAGCATGGGGCATGGGGCATGGGGCATGGAGCATGGGGCATGGGGCATGGCATGGGGCATGGGGCATTGGGCAAGTGGCATGAGATACGGTGCAAGAGGCATGGGGCAGGGAGCATTAGAGAGCAGGTTCGTAATGTGAGTGAACTGGTCGTCCAGGAGCTTGGCCACCTAACTGGCGAACGTGTGAGGCAAGGGGGAAGGCGCAAGGGGCGTGGGATGTGGGTTATGGGATGTAGCCATGGGCAATGGGATCGAGCATGGGGTATGCGGCAAAGCGCATGGGGCATGAAGCATGGCGCATGGAGCATGGGGCATGGAGCATGGGGTATGGAGCATGGGGTATGGACCATGGAGTAGGGGGCAGGGGACAGGGGACATGGGGCATGGGGCACGGGGCATGGGACATGGGGCATGGGACATGGGAAATGGGACAGGGGGCATGGGACAGGGGGCATGGGACAGGGGGCATGGGACAGGGGGCATGGGCAGGGGAGGTTGATGCATGCACGCGCACGGAGGGCCTGGAATGGAATGGGCATTCAAGCAGGTACCCTTGCCAGATAAGCAGGTAGTCTTGCCACCTAAGCAGGTTAGGATGCCAGCTAAGCAGGTTACAATGCCAGGTATGCAGCTCACCATACCAGGCAAGCAACTCACCATGCCAGCGAGGTTCCCCAGCCTCGCCACGTCTGTCCGTTCCAATCAGGGGCGATGGTGATGGTGGAGGTGGCTGTGAGGCGTGCGGGGAAGGAAAGAAAAGGGAGGAGAGGGGAGGTGAGCGAAGGGATAGAAAGAGAATGGGGAGTGAAGATGGTGAAACGGCCTCTCCACGTCTGTCCGTTCCAATCGGAGATGGTGGTAGGAGGGCGCTACGGGGCGAGGCGACACAAAGGAAGGGACTGGTAAGGAAAATAGAGAAGAGGAAAGGAAGGGGAGGAAAGGGAAACAAAGAAATGGGAAAGAACTGGTAAGGGAGATAAACGGAAGGAGAGACGACGCTGGGCCAGTCACGGCACCTCTGTGCCGCGGGGCGATGGTGCTGGTGAAGGGCGGTGAGGAGACGAGAGGTGAGGCGAGGAGAGACGAGAGCACCGTGCCGGATGGTTGAGGAACAGGAGCCAACCGCTGGAACGAACACATCAGAATTTTAAGAGGAAGCTTAACTAACGCAGTCAGGACATGGGGACATGAGAATATGCGGACATGGGGCATGGGGCATGGGGAGAGTCGAGTGGGGGACTGCAGGAGTCAAGGCACAGTGAGGGCGTGACTAAGATGCTATATAGTCACAGCGAGCGACGCTGCCTATCAGAGCACAGCCTCGGCTGTCACCTGATTCAACCTTCACTCCCGCTCGTCCTCCCAACCACCGACTCTATAACGCGGGTATCTCCCTCCCAGATCTGGTCGCGCGTATGATCGCATCAGAAGGTCTCAGCCGCACGATAGTGGCCCCATGACTCCCCCTGTAATCCCGTTGCCCCCAATGTTCCCCCCTTGCCCCCATCTTTCCCCACTTGCCCCATTTTCCCCCCGTCGGCCCCAGCCCTGATTCGGTAAGAATATCCCTCCCTTCCCGAGGCCCTCCTGTTCTTGCATCACGTAAACGAAACTCTATATCGCGGATATCTCACCTCCAGATCTACACACGACAATGCCCCTATCAGGTGTCAGCCGCTTTTTGAGTCGACCAGAATATCGTTTTTTGAGTCGTCTCGTAAACGGAGCTCGATATCGAGGATATCTCACCTCCGGTTCGACACACGCCAATGATTTCATTGTCGGGTGTCAGTCGCGCCTCGTTCCCCGCGGGCGGAGTGCTCCCCCCATCCCCCTCGTCTGGCCGGTCGTCGGGAGGGGGAGGGGGAGGCGCGGAAGCCTGCGCAATCACCACGCCTACGGAAGTTAGGCTTTGCGCGGTAGCTTGGAGGTGCGCGGAGGAAGAGGCCGCAAAAGCCACGCGCGCGGATGTTCCGCCTTGCGCCGTCGTCATGCGCGGCAGCCAGCACTCCTGCGCGACCGGCCACAGCAGCATCCACTCCGCGTCGCACTCGCCCGCACCGGCGCCGCTGGCGGCGGTTGAAGCCTCCAGGGAGCGCCCATGCGCGGTTGACGCCGGCGCTTCCCCATCCGCAGGCTGCGAAAATACTTCGATTCAACGGCGGGTGCCACGCGAGGGGCAGCGGAGTGTAGACGCTGGTGCTGTTCGCGTCGCGGTTCCTGGTCACGGGCGGAACTGAGGCAGGCGGTAACTGCGCGCCGATGGCAGCGGCGCGGGTGGCTGAGCAAGGCGAGTGAGGAGGGGACGAGGAAACGATGAGGAGGGAGAGCAGTACTAGGAGCGGGAGCGACGGGCTACCAGACCTAATAGGAACCATATTTTTTAGCGGCAGTGTACTCTATTTTGTTACTACTGAGCCTTAGAGTCCTGCCCATGATACTAATCTGTTAATAAGGTCTCGTGTCGCCCATACATGTAGGGATTCAATATCGGTCTTGAACAGGATACGAATTGGAAACCGTTAGATGACACCGCACAGCATGTTTGTGGCTGACCCTGCATCACAGTTCGCTTCGCTCTCTCTGTTCTTTTGAGTTGTTTTTTGCAGCGTGTAATGAATTTTATCGTCATTCCTTACGCAGTGTTACGGGTGCAATGAATCGAAGTAGCGAGAATTGCACGAAGGTGTCAAGCGAGTACAAAGATGTGAGCGAAGGCATGAGCGAACATTTATACGCGAAACATGCAAAACGGTAACGCGGTGCGTGCGAGCTTGCTAGTGCTACGCTGGAGCGAGGCTCGGGCTAGTCCCGAAGCGTAGGCCGATACGGCCATGCCAGCAGTGCGAGGTTTGGCAAAACAGTGCGCGCGAAGTCAGCGAAGTCCCGTTAGCAGTAACGGGCGAACAACGGCTGTTGCTGTACGCGATGTAGTCGGCTCCGTAAGGAATGCCGAGAAAATTCCATACACTACCCCCCCCCCTTAAGAAGCCCCCTCGGCTACGCGAGTGCGTGTATATCGCGGAATCCCCGGCTCCTCAGATACACTTGCAGGGCAGGGTGTTTCTCAATGTTGGTCAGGGGCACCCAGCTATCTTCAGTTGGCGTGCGGTCCTTCCAGCGAACGAGGAATTCAATCCTCCTGATTCCCGTGGGGTGGCGGATCCGATGGCTCAGGATTTTTTCGGGCTCGATGATCGGCTCCGATGCAGGGCGAGTCATTGATTGTGGGCGGTGACGCGGCAGTTGACTTGTGGTCGGGATGTATGGGCGAAGTAGGCTGACGTGGAACGAAGGGCTGATGTACCAGTCGGTTGGTAACAGTAGATGTGCGGTGACGGGTGTGATCATGTGACTGATTTGGAATGGTCCACAGTAGCGCGGTCGTAATTTCGGTACGTCGGGCAGTGGCAGATTTTGCGTGTCGAGCAGCACATAATCTCCAGATTGGTACATGACAGGGCGGCGGTGGCGGTCAGCGTTGCGCTTAGCGATGACGTTGGCTTTTTTTATTGCTTCGGCGGCTCTGGTGCGGGCAGCTTGCAGGATTTCGGCGAATTGTTGTGCACGTGGCGTTGGGTTGTCCGGACTCGGCGTCATGGGCACTGTGGGGTTTTGCCCATAGTTCAGGTAGAACGGGGACTGCTGCATCGTTGCTGACGTGGCGTTGTTGTACGCGAACTCGATCAGCGGCAGCTGCTGCTCCCAGGTCGTGGGGTCGTCGCACGTGGCACGAATCAACTGCTCCATCGTCTGATTCGTCCGCTCCGTTTGGCCGTCGGTCTCGGGGTGGTACGACGAACTGAACTGTAGCCTGATCCCGAACTGCTCCCAAAGGTTCTTCCAGAAGTTGCTAGTAAACTTCGTGTCCCTGTCGCTGATAATCGCTGCTGGTATCCCGTGCAGGCGAACAACGGCTGCGATGAACAGGCGAGCGGTCTCCTCGGCTGAGATCGACTTTTTGCACGCAGCGAAGTGTGCCATCTTCGTCAGCTTATCCACGACGACCATCACCGCGTCGTTAACCCCAGGGTTCGAAGGTAACCCTGTGACGAAGTCCATGGTTACTTGCTGCCAGGCGCGTTCGGGCGGTGGGATCGGCTGCAATTGACCCGCCTTCCGCTTCCTCGAACTCTTCATCACCTGACACGTAGGGCACGAGCCCACGTGCTGCTGTACGTCGGTCAACAGCTCCGGCCAGTAATAATACCGCTGTAATTGCTGTCGTGTTTTTTCTACCCCGAAATGTCCCGAGGTAATCCCGTCGTGTGCCTCCTGCAGTAGCAGCTCCCTCAGTAGTGAGTACGCGGGTACCCAAATGCGGTTGGTGCCTGTTCTTACGTAATAAACTCCTTTTGCTTCTGCGAGTTGCTGTGAATTTCCGGTCGTGAAGAATGGGTCGGTGCGGTATCCGTGGGTGAATAGGCCAGTTAACAGCGGGTTGGTCTGGGCGAGTAGGATGGCGTGGAGTTGGGCGGTGGGGCGGGTGAGAGCGTCGGCGATGTTGGATGCGCCTTTTTTGTACGTAACGGTGTAATGAAAATTGGACTCAAGGTAGTCCAACCAGCGAATCTGTCGTGGGTTGAGATTCGGTTGGGCGCGAAGGTACTGTAGTGAGCGGTGGTCTGTCCGTACTGTCACGTCGGCGCCAGTCAGGTAACACCGCCAAACTTTGAACGCGTGCACGATCGCCACCATTTCGCGGTCGTGTATCGGGTAGTTGCGTTCGGGCGGGTGTAGCTTGCGGGACTCGTACGCGATTGGCTGGAGGCCGTTCCCGAAGTCATGCAACAGTAATGCTCCCACAGCGATGTCACTTGCGTCGGTGACGAGCTCGAACGGACGGTGTGGATCTGCGATGTGAAGCACGGGCGGTGAGCACAAAATGTTTTTGAGGGCCGAGAAGGCAGCTTGCTCTTTCTCCCCCCACGTGTACTCAACCCCCTTCCTCAGCAGGTCGGTCAACGGGGCAGTCAACTTCGCCATGTCGGGGACGAGCCGGCGCACGTAGTTGACGAACCCCAGGAAACTCTGCAACTCGGTCAAGTTGGTCGGCGCGTGCCAAGCCTGAATCGTCGCGATTTTCTTCGGGTCTATTTCCACTCCTGCAGCTGAAATAACATGTCCCAAAAACTCCAGGCGGTCCTGTAAAAATTCACACTTAGATGCTTTGGTCAGTAGGCGGTTCTCACTCAGGATTTTAAAAACTGCTTCGATGTCATGTAAGTGCTGTGCTCTGTCGGGGCTGTAAATCAGTATGTCTTCCAGGTAAACGATGACGCACTTATCTAGAAGCGGGCAGAATGCTTCGTTCATGGTCATTTGGAAGGTGGCGGGGGCGTTGGTCAGTCCAAATGGCATGACAGTGTATTCGAAGGATCCGTAGCGTGTTCGGAATGCGGTTTTCGGGCAGTAAGGTGGGTTGACGCGGATTTGGTGGTAGCCTCCCCGGAGGTCAATTTTCGAGAAAACCCGGGCTGTGCGCAGTTGGTCGATCAGTTCGTCGGCTCGTGGGATGGGGTAACGGGATTTGATGGTAACCCTGTTCAGTGCTCTGTAGTCTATGCACATGCGAAATCCCCCGTCCTTTTTCGGTGTGAACTGTCGAAATATATTTGTCATGTTTTATAACTGCTTGTAGTTGTAGTTAGTGTAGTTATTTAAACTGTTGTTGGTGGTGCACCTTATTTGGTTCCTATGCTATATGTACCCTTGAACCTATAGTGAAACCATCACTTTTCTCCAATTCCTCTCTCAACTCACTCGATACCTCGCCTAGGGTAAAACCTACTCGACACCTTAGTTCGGGCCTAGGCTATTAAGCCTAGGCCCTACCTTTCCTCATTCTCTCTCTCTAATCTCAACATGGTATCAGAGCAAGTTACGTCCTGGCCTGTGGGCCCGCCCTACGCTTCCGCTATGATTTTTCGGTCGCGCGCCTAGTGCGCGTGACGATTTTTACCTTGTCCCGCCCACGGGCGTGTGACTCCTACTCCGCCCGTCGCGCGCCCCGTGGCACGCGACGGTGCCCTTCAACTGCCCATCGTGCGCCCCGTGGCACACGATGGTGCCCTGCTCGTCGTGCGCCCCGAGGCACACGATCGGGCCCTTTCTCTTATCCTACCCGTCGTGCGCCCCGTGGCACTGGCACGCGACGGGCCTTTCCGCCCATGCTCCCCCTGAAGCCACCCCTGACCCATCTGCACCGACACCGTTTCGCCGCTCTGCGGCTTTCCTCCCGCCCACCCCCCTCCTCCTTTGTTTCCCTGCAGCCGTGGGGAGGAGGGTATGGGGGTGGCGGGTGTTGGAGTGTGGGGTCACCTCTCTTCCTTCCCCTCCTCCTTCTTTCAGTCCCACCGCTGCAGCTGCCGCTGGGGGGGGAGGGTGTGAGGATGTGGGGGAGCAGGGGGAGTGGTACCGGGGTGGCGGGTGTGAGGCAACATGCAGCCGTCCCTCCACCTCTCCTCTCTTCCCCCCTTCTCTGCTGCTCCTGCAGCAGTGTGGGGGAGGGGAAGGAGGAGGGTGAGGAGATGGAAGGGGTACCTGCTGTTGATTGCTATTCTTTTGAATGGCGTAACTACATATCTACCTACAAGCATTATGGGGGCGTGTCGAAATATATTTGTCATGTTTTATAACTGCTTGTAGTTGTAGTTAGTGTAGTTATTTAAACTGTTGTTGGTGGTGCACCTTATTTGGTTCCTATGCTATATGTACCCTTGAACCTATAGTGAAACCATCACTATTCTCCAATTCCTCTCTCAACTCACTCGATACCTCGCCTAGGGTAAAACCTACTCGACACCTTAGTTCGGGCCTAGGCTATTAAGCCTAGGCCCTACCTTTCCTCATTCTCTCTCTCTAATCTCAACATGGTATCAGAGCAAGTTACGTCCTGGCCTGTGGGCCCGCCCTACGCTTCCGCTATGATTTTTCGGTCGCGCGCCTAGTGCGCGTGACGATTTTTACCTTGTCCCGCCCACGGGCGTGTGACTCCTACTCCGCCCGTCGCGCGCCCCGTGGCACGCGACGGTGCCCTTCAACTGCCCATCGTGCGCCCCGTGGCACACGATGGTGCCCTGCTCGTCGTGCGCCCCGAGGCACACGATCGGGCCCTTTCTCTTATCCTACCCGTCGTGCGCCCCGTGGCACTGGCACGCGACGGGCCTTTCCGCCCATGCTCCCCCTGAAGCCACCCCTGACCCATCTGCACCGACACCGTTTCGCCGCTCTGCGGCTTTCCTCCCGCCCACCCCCCTCCTCCTTTGTTTCCCTGCAGCCGTGGGGAGGAGGGTATGGGGGTGGCGGGTGTTGGAGTGTGGGGTCACCTCTCTTCCTTCCCCTCCTCCTTCTTTCAGTCCCACCGCTGCAGCTGCCG